ATGGGCCAGCCACAGCTTCTCTGGGCAACCTGTTCCAGGGCCTCACCATCCTCCCAGGGAAGAACTTCCTAAGCTCTCATCTAAATCTCCCCTCTGTCAGTTTAAAGCCCCTTGTCCTATCATCACCTGCCCCTGTCAAAAACCCCTCCCCAGCTTTCTTGTTGTCCCCTTTATGCACTGGAGGCTGCTCTAAGGTCTCCCTGGAGCCTTCTTGTCTCTGGGCTGATCAAGCCCAGCTCTCTGAGCCTGTCTCCATAGCATAGCTCCAGCCCTTAGAGCATCTTTGTGGCCTCCTCTGGACTCACTGTAATGAATAATGTAAAGGAGACAGCAGCTAAGTATTAATGGCATGGTAGAGACCTGTTTGGTCTTTGCACCTGGGTTTTGAAAACTGAGGTAAAAAGAGCAATGTTGCATTTTTCTGAGACCCATTTCCAACACATTATCTTTTTAAGAGCTTTCCCTGAGCAAGATGTTTATACAACCCCTGTGTATTTCTCATCCGACTGGCTGAATGAATACTGGGATGCTATAGCTGTGGATGATTACCGGTTTGTCTACATGGGACCTAAAGGTTCATGGTAAGGCAGTGTGGTTTCTGTCATTCTTACATCCTCTTTTTCTAAGATTACTATTACAGGGGGGGTTCACATTGTCCTTCAGGATAGCATCATGCTGCAGAGGAAGTGTGGCCTTACTGCATAGTGCTGTACCTGAACCCAGCCAGTCTTGTTTCTCAAGCAGCTCTTATGGTTCTGGATGTGAGCTGTACTTTTGCAGCCAGCTAAAGTTCCTTTGTGCTTCAAAAAGCCCTGAATCATACCCACAAGATCAGCTAGCTTTTATAAAGTTTCAGAGCAGAATCTCCCTGGGGATCATCAGGCACTTGTGATTTGCAAAGTCAGAAGCAGCCTTGGAGCAGTGCTGATGAGTTGATCAAATATTTTGCAGGTGAAAATTTAAGTCTGGTGTTGTTTGATAAAGTTACCTTTAAAGTATTCTCATCAGTTCACATCACAGAATCTCTTGTCATTGAGGTATCTGTGGGACAAGTTCAAAACTAACTGATGGAGAAACATGGGATATAAAAGGCTGCAATACTATGTAGATATAGTGGCCTTTTAATATAAAACAATCAAAATTAAGAGGATGACAGTTTTGGATCAGGTTTGCATAGTGAAGGTTGATTTCTGTATGTTTGTGTGATTCTCAGAGATTTTAATTTATCTTACAGCTTTTAAGCATTGTCTTCACTTAAAACTCTGATTTGCCCCACAGGACTCCATTCCATGCTGATGTCTTCCGTTCCTATAGCTGGTCAGCCAATATATGTGGGAGAAAGAAATGGCTGTTGTACCCTGCAGGACAGGAGGAGTATCTGAAAGACCGCCACGGCAACCTGCCCTTTGACGTGACTGCCCCTGGCCTTCAGGACAGGAGTGTTTACCCTCGCTACAACCAAAGTCAACCACCTGTGGAGATTGTGCAGGAAGCAGGGGAGATAGTCTTCATCCCCAGTGGATGGCATCATCAAGTTTACAATCTGGTAAGGTAACTGATACCATCCTTTTCATCACACAGAAAGATCATCAGCCAGCAGGCTTGAATCAGTTCAAACCTTTGTTGCCACAGTATGCTGTGGATGCCAAAAGTTTAACTGGGCTGCAGAAAGTTCAGAGAGATTCACAGAGGAAAGGTCTATTGGCCACTCAGGATGATGGCTAAAAGCAAGCCTGAACTCCTAAGCTCCTTGGGTCATTGAAGAAGCTGTCTGCACCCTCCTTTAAACTTTTCATCATTAGATGCTACTGGTCACTAAGAAACAGGATGCTAGATGAGATGGACCTATGGTGAGGCGGTTAATCTTGGTTTCTAACTGTAAATTGTAATTTAATAATGGATAACACTAGCAAATTGATCTTCATGATTACAAACCAAAATTAAGAACCATGTTCCTTTCTCCAAACTGCCTTCTCCCACATTTGTGCTCTTGAAAGGTATGCTCAGACAAAGGAACTAGAGATGTTTGCCAGTTTACAGAGTGAAACAAGATTTGGTTGATCAGAGACGTTAGAAAGAGCCTTTGAACACAAAGCATTTCCCTTGCTGAGGAATATGATTTTACATTTTGCATCGTCAGTGATGATATAGCTGTTTTCTCTCATTTTCATTCCTAGAGCCTAATAACCATTTAAATTATTCCTTCAGGAGGATACCATTTCTGTTAACCACAACTGGGTGAATGGCTGCAATGTGGCTATAATGTGGTGCTTCCTACAGGATGAATTAGCAGCTGTCCAGCGGGAAATTAATGAATGGAAAGACCCTATGGATGATTGGCACCTACAATGCCAGGTATAACAATGTGATGCTGGTTGCCTGACTGTGTTAGGAAATCATATTTCAGAGATGCTTTGCACCACCTTATTAGAGCTGTAAGACGCAGAAGTCCTTAACCTCGTACCTGGAATTAGTACATGTTTCATCAAGAAGTAGGAACTGGTGACAACTTCATTTTGCAGGAAAATACAGAACCCTAGAATGGTTTGAGTTGGACCTTAAAGGTCATCTAGTTCCAACCCTCCTGCCACGGGCAAGGACACCTTCCACTAGACCAGGTTGCTAAAAGGGACTGTTAAACGGGACAGGAAGGGGCCAGCCACAGCTTCTCTGGGCAACCTGTGCCAGCGTCTCGCCACCCTCATAGGAAAACCCATCTTCCCAAGATCTAATCTGAATTTCCCCTCTGTCAGTTTATAGCCATTCCCCCTTGTCCTGTCATCACATACCCTTGTAGAAAGTCCCTCTCTAGATTTCTTGTCAGCCCCTTTGTGCACTGGAGGCTGCTCTAAGGTCTCCCTGGAGCCTTCTCTTCTCCAGGCTGAACAAGCCCACCTCTCTCAACCTGTCTCTGTAAGAGAGGTGCTCCAGCCCTTGGAGCATCTTTGTGGCCTCCTCTGGACTTACTCCAGTTGCTCCACATCCTTCTTATGTTGGGGGCCTCAGAGCTGCACACAGGACTGCAGGGGGAGGTCTCACCAGAGTGGAGTAGAGGAATAATCTCCTCCCTTGATCTGCTAGTCACATTGCTGGTGATGTAGCTCAAGACACAGTTGGTTTCTGGGCTGCAAGCGCACACTGCCAGGTCATGCTGAGCTTCTTGTCAAGCAGCACCCCAAAGTCCTTCACTTCAGTGCTGCTCTCAGTCCAGTTTCTGCCCAGCCTATGTTTGTGCTTGGGATTGCCCTGACCCAGGTGCAGGACCTTGCACTTGGTCTTGTTGAACTTAATGAGGTTTATGTGGGCCCACCTCTCAAGCCTGTCCACATACCTCTGGGTGGCAGGAATCGAATATTTAGTAAGATAGGGAAATGCTTGTGCCAGTGCCTGTTTGGTGTGTCAGGGAGGTTAGGATGTTATCTGGAAAACTAATGCTTCAACTGCTCTTCTATCAAGCTTAGCATTAGCATCGAGATTTATCCTTTTCATAGTATGTACGTTCCCCTTTATAAAATATAAGTGCTTTTCACGTAAACAGAACTGACAAGACAGACCCACACACAATAACTGGTTTGAAGACCATTCATGATGAAACAGTGAATCTGAAACAAGCAAAATCAAGCTGAAGGTGGCAGCAGGTTTCTTCATCTGTGAAGTGATGATTTCAGGATATCTAACTATACTAAGCAGTGTTATATACTTCCAAAACCTTAAGCATGAAATGTAAAGCTTGAGGCTGTTTATGCTGGTAGTTTGAGATCCTTCAAAAAGGAGTTTCAAACAACACAGTCATTTAGAAAGAGGAGAGTGTTGCTTTTGAGGCTTGTGGCATTTCAAGTAAGGTAAAGAATTTTAGTGCCGCTGGGGAATTACAAAAAGTATGATTAAACAGTTACTTATGATTCCAGGTCATTACTAGCTTGATAAAGTGTTTTTTCATTCTTACTGCAAAGAAAAGAGTTGTTTCTATTTCAGTGCGGTTTTGTTGTTTTGTTTTGTTTTTTTTCTTTCCTAGTTGATCATGAAGTCTTGCACAGGTATAGACTACAAGGAGTTCTATAACTTCCTCAAAGTTATTGCAGAGAACAGGATTTCTGTCTTGGAAAATGGCCTCGATGACGAAGCTTCAGCAAAAAACACTCCAAAAGCTGCCATTTCCACCTTGGGCATGCTCCATGCAGTGTTTGATTTAAAGAGGACTGTGAAGGTGTTAACATCATTGAGTGCTAATGAAGATTTCAAGAAACTAGACCTGACGTCACTTTCTCCACCTCCGGAGGCATTGCTCCACCACTTGAAAGCAGCAATAGATACAGCGCTACTCTAACTTCCTATTTATTCCATTCTTTGTAAAACAAACCTTTTGCAAAATGTTTGTAGAAGACTAACTTCTCCCTGTTTAATAGCTCTTCCAGTTGAAGTACAGAGCGCCTTAATATAGAGTGGGGAGAGAGTACATTCATAAGACAGCTGAGTGCTTTTTGACACCATTTGCATATCTAGAGTAATTGGGCAGGAAAAAAACCCAAAAAAATCCTCAGATTAAAGAAAAATCTAAATCATGTTAATATTATATTTTGAACGCTGCTGGTGAATATGCCTGCAGGGAAGAGGGAAAAGAAGTTTTCTGTGGATCAGGCTTAGGTCTGTCAGGACTAAACACTGATGTTGCAGTGGTCTTACACTGAGCGAGGTTGCCGTGGTCTGCACCATACTCCCACTACTGAGAGCACTGCATATAGACAGCAAACCTGCATTGCAGACTCCAGCAGTTAAGCTCTGCTTTGTCTGGTCACAGCTAAGTTACTGTAAGACCTGTCCTGCTTCCAGGCACAGCTCAGCTTTTCTTTTTTATGGGTTTGGTTTTGATTTATTTTTTTTTAGGAGACCCTAGTTAGTTAGATTCCATTGAAGCCTGAACTGGCTCTATAGCTGTACCTTGGATGTGTAAGAGCTGCCTGTAACAGTGTCCTGTAAAATGGTATCTAAATCTGAAAGTCTCAGGCAGGGTCATCCTTCATACTGCTCCAAGGGCCTGCAGGATTAAATTTAACATAATAATCAGGAAGCTTAAGTCCTGATTGCAAATTAGTGCAGACAGCAAATCTGCCACTAAGAATTTAAGCATGTGCTCCACCCAAGCTCAAAAGAAGGAACTTGAATGTACTCTCACATTTCTACATGCTATTTCAAGACACAGTATTTTATCAAGCAGAGATTTGATTAATCAGGGAAGCAAGTAAGTAGCCTCATATTATCTCCTAAAAAAGCCATGCTGTTACCACACCAAATAACACTACTGCATGGTTATTTAGCACAATTTGCAACCTGAATGCTATCCTTGGGCTCAAAGAGTATTTCTAGTGAAGTATCCCTCTTGCTTTTAACTGGCTGGTGAGAAAGCCTAGAAGCACAAATGGCTGCACACTGTTACCTTAGTTGCCCCTTTAGGGCTCACTTGAATTACTGCTCAAGAACTTACTCAGTTTTCAACCAGACGACTAGTAAGAGCAACTAATTATATGTTTAGAAAGTGCAATAATAGAAATCTTCAGTAGGTTGAAAAAAATCACAGTTTTCTAGATAATGCTGTAGTTTGTACATGCATGCATTTTGCATGTCCTATTTTCTAGCAGAAGTTTTGCATTTTGAGTAGGAAGTGGTGCCTGAAATTAAAATTAATACCCAAAGCATGGATAAATGCAGTATGGAGAAAACAAACTTTTTTTTTTATTTTTTTATTTTAAACAGCTGTGACTACATCTCAGTGATTCAACCTTCTGGCAGGGTGTTTCTTTAGATGGGAAAACTGCCAGTTTTAAGCAGCTCTGAAATTAAAAGTTCACAGCTGTTACTTAAAGTCTGTTTACATTCTCAAGGACAGGCAGCTGGAGCTTTCTTAGATGAATAAGGTGAGATTTTGTAGAAGTGAGGAACAATGGTTTAAAGCTGATAATTAGTGTAATGGTTGGAAAGCATGGTTTTGGTCTTGGATCCCCCATCTCACTGCATGCTGTGCAAGTGGTATTGGCACCAACCCCTTTAAACACTGCAATTTTATCAAGGGTTTGCTTAGATCAACAGTACTTTTCATTTCACATCCTGCAAAGCTGGAACTGCTTGGCTTTGCTATGTGAAACAAGCAAAAATACAAATCCAGCTTTTACACCAAGAACCTAGTATCTCAAATTCCCCAGGATCCATTTAAGACACTGTAGTGTCTGGCTGACTACATCCTCATTTAGACGGATGGCATGAGTTTGCTGTAATACAAAAATCCAGGCAGCAGTTTTCAGGGAAGAGGCATCATTCCTGCAGTTAATTCCTCTTCCCTGTAGAAAGAAGTTAAGGAAGGAAGAAAATAAGGTGACTAAAGAAGCATTCAAGTAAAGGAAGGTGGGTCTTAGCTACTCACTCTCTCTTTACCTGAGGTGTCTCTACACCATAGCATCTTCAGCTCCAAAGAGGTGTAAGAGCCCTCTTTCATAAGGCCTACTAAGACTTAATGCAAGACAACGGTGGAAAAAAAATAGTAATTTAATTGCAGGAAATTATATTAAATTTTAAGCCATGTCCTCCTTACTGATTCAGCAGGGAACAGATTAGTTTTATTTATTCAGTCTCTCCTAGAATTACATTAGGAAACTAATTTGTACTTCAAATTCTCCATTCCCATGAATGATCAAGGCAATAAGGGAGCCATGTATATTCTAAAGATAAAGAGGAAAGCAAATTCTAAAATGCCTGAAGACAGCAACAAAACCAGAATAAGAAGTATGCGAGCCTGGAATCTTAAAAATTAAACAAACAGTTTTATTTAAATACAAAGTTACTGTGAAAATACATTAGGATATTATCACACCAATATATTAACTGTTGTAATCTATGTACTATTTATTAAAGCATAATACTTGGGATAAACAGGAGGAAACTGCCTGTAAAATTTTGTTATGTTGTTTCCTGAAGTCACAAACCTGGACAATTTAAAGTTGAACTGTAAAAAAACTTAAAAAAGGCAGGTTAAAATCTAGTTCAAAGGAGCTTTTGCTCTAAACAGGCAACTCAGACATAACTATTTTTGTCTGATAGGAACAGGATACCAAATATCTGTTTGCCTTTCATAAAGGCAGCATAAAACCTAGCCCAGTTCTAATCTGATTTGTACCCCACTGGCATCAGTGGGTGGTCTGTCAGCAAAAGCTGTGACTCTCAGAAAACCAGTGGTTTGGCAGCTCTGTCAGTGCAGAAAGCCAGGTGGTTTTTGTTTTCTCTCACCAGAATTTGAGATTTCTTACCCCAGAAAAACGCATGTTCTTTCTCTTCCGCACACACAAACCCCTGCAGAATTACAAAGCAGCACTAGCATGTTCAAGGTGCAAGTGTGATATCCCTGAGATTTAACAGGAGTTTGCAGAGTGTAAATATACACTTGCAAGTATCATAAAACAAGGAAGTTAGTCAATAGCAGCCTTAAAATGCAATGGAGAGGTACTGAGTTTGTCATAGGTAAGAAGAGGAATGGAAAAACCTTCCTCTTAGGGATGCAGGAAAAGCCACCTTACTTCAGGACTGGGTTGTTCAGGAGGATGACGATGGCCTCTCCATTCCATGCCACATTTCTGCAAACCAGAACTAGTCCCACCAAAATAGTTCCTTATGGTTTCATTTGACCCCTTTCTATAAAATAACCTCCCTTATGTCAGTTCACCAGTGCAAAACAGAGTGTCTAAAAGAACAGCTAAATGAGGTTTCAAGGCAGGTTGCTATTTGTAGGAAAGGGAAATAAAACTACAGGGAAAGAAACACCTTGGCCACTTTCTGCAAAAATATTCCCAAACACAAGCTGAAGTTGCATATTGAAGGCTTTTAGTCTACAGCATCTGTATGTCTGTGCTTTATGACCACAGCTAGTCCAAGAGAAAACCCAGCAAAAAACCCTCATCTGATAAATAACCATTCTTTCCTTTTTAAAGGCAGACAGAACAGTAGGGACATGATTGCTTCTTCATCCAACTGTGTTTGGTCAAGAAAGTGCAGCAGGGAGGCTCTCTTCAGGTCCCCAAACTCAGGAGCTGTGAGTCACATGGCAGTTCTCTCTTTGGTGGAGCCTCATCCTCTGTATGTGTTCATAGCAAGACTGGGAAAGGAATAGAGGAATCCGTTAAGGAAAAGTTTTAGAACTTTGGTCCAAAATCTGGTCTCTTCCAGAGACCCCCAAAGGCAGTATTAAATCAGCACATTCACATTACAAATGAACAATAAGCACATTCTCTAGACTAGAAGGAAAATAACCTCCTGTGCTAGGCATATAAGCAGCCCCCCTAAAATTAAGAGTATGGCACATCAACATTGCTACTGTTCAAGACAGGCTAGTGCAGTTTGCAACTGTCACTGCTGAAAACATTTCCTTACCTCCAGGGCGGTTAACAGGAAGTCATATAGTCCTCCTTGATTGGTGGGGTCCATCAAGTCTCTAATCAGATGGATTTCAGCTCCCAGATGCTGTATTCTAGGAAAAATAGAAGTCACAACTAGAACAAATCTATGGGCATCTGGTGTTCGTGGGCATATATTTCAAATCAGATTATGGAGAGAAGGAGGCATGGATCTGGAAGTCCACTTCTGATTCCTTGTTTATCACCTTAACTTTCTGGAGGCTGAGTCCTTGAGGTATCCAACATGACTGGATCTTAGGAAAGATGTTCAATCATAAGAGAATTTTAACTCCTCCATTTTTTACAGTCTCTTATACCCCTCCTGTCTCACCTGCAGTCGAGAAAGCTGCCTAGCAAACAAAATTGTATCATCCAACATGACTGCAACAGGGGAAGCTTCTGGATTTCATGGCCCCAAGTTTAAACACTTCACCCTTTTTTGAAGACCAAACACATCCAGGAAGTCAGTGAGGGATTTTTGACTCAAATCTGCCAGGAAAAAAACCTTACAGTTTCATTCTACTGGATGTAAGTGGGTTCCTGCAGTTACAGTGAAAGCAGCACAGAGAGAGCCTCTTTGGCAGAAATGTGTCACATTCACAGTCATTCCTACACAGGGAAAGTCTAGTAACTGGTCGCTGTTCAGGACATTCCTGTTCTTCAAACTGGATCACAGTGCCCCCTTGAGAATGGAAAACAGAAGATGCAAGATACACAGATAATGCCTGGAAGGCATTAACAATTGGCCTTCAAAGGCTTCATGTTCCTATTTTCTTCTGTAATCTGAGATGCAGGTAAGATCACATTTCCCATCACAATCCTGAATTATCCTTTCGGGTAAAAGATGGACACTCAAGAAGCCCTTGGCCACTTTATATCATGGCCAACACCATCACACCATACCTGGCAGACAGTAGCACACAAAAACCCCAATACAGCTCAGGAAAAAGCATGTATAAAACACAAACCCTAGCTTTTCATGTAAATTACTTTGCTTGGAAACATGGCTGTTCTTTCTCTGATTAAGGTATCACACAACAGCAGGACTGGGAAATGAAAAGCTTACACTTACTTTGCTCGGGATACAACATACATCAGTAGAGGCAAGAGGTCATCCATGGGGAGCTTGTAGTCCTTCTCCACCACCCGGGACACTGTGCTCTCGATCTCCTCATATGTCTTCTGGAGGATTACCAGCTTTTCCCGGGGATCCACTGTGGTGCTGTCAGTATGAAAACAGCCATGTCAAATGTATGGCATTTCCCAGAACATAGAAAATCCCTGGTTATCAGTCGAAGGCTATGGGCAGTGACTTACATGAGCTTCTGCAAACATTCTGTGGCAGACAGGAAACACTTGTCTTTTATAAGGGACCGCCTCTGAAAGGGAGACAAAGAGTTGTGCCTCTATAAGAACATCTCTCAGAGAACCACCACATGGCTCCTCACCACTGGACCCAAAATAAACATGCTTGCTGCCCATAAAAGAGGGCAAAATAAAGCTGTTGTAGACAATGCCACTCTGAACATGCTTAGATGTCTAAAGTGCCACTCTGAACACAGATGTCTTTGAAACACCACCAAGCAGAGCATTTCAAAGCAATCTTATTCAGAGCTCACATTCACACAGTAGCTACAAATCATAACTAATCAACACACATCATGTAGCTCTTATTTCCAAGTACAGTTTCTGCCCTGTGGTTACTTAGGTGAAGCTCCGTCATTAGTCAGCACCAGCATGTAGCCTGGTGCCAGCTAACACACCAAAGCTAGGTGTTAGCATTATTTCCTACCTGGTTGGTTGTCAGGGTGAGATCTTTCAGAGGCCACAGGTGTCTGAAAGGAGATTACAGAGAAAAGATTTAGAAGGCCGATCTCCATGTGTTCACCCCAAGTCAATTTTGACTGCTTTTATCTCCTTATTCAAGGTGATGCTACTAAATGCATGCTAAGAGTATGCTACTCATGCACTTTTGTAGGTGCATGAGGCTGAGTTTGCTTGTCTCGTTACTCTGCTGCAGGAATAATTAATAACTTGGACTCAATAACCTGAGTGTAGGTTTCATTTTACTCACAGGTGCTCCTGTAATAATCAAGGAGAGTTTTGGCACTTTCAGAATCAATTTCTCTCACTCAGTCTAGACTGAGTTAAACTGCCAAATTGAGATTCCAGGTCTCCTGCTACCCTGCCAAATTCCTTGAGCTGCAGATGATGCTGTATTAGAAAAGCTCATGTGCCTCTTGGATCTGAGTCATTGGTCCTCAGGTGTCACTTCCAAAAATGGATCTAACTGCAAGAATGGATGAAGGAAACATCTGGCTCCACAGCCTTTTCCCTCTCTTGAGACACTGTGCCTACATTGTTATGGCAGATACCATCGGATGGACTACAGCTCTTTCTAAGGCACATTTATAAGCTCAGTTTGATTGGTCCCGAGCTGGAGGAAGCCATTTATTTGCTAAGCTAGAAAAGAAGAATTTTGCTACACAAAATTAAAATAAGCATAGCTAGTAGCAGCTTTCACTAGTCAATGCTGTCCTTCCAGACAGTATTGCAGGCATTCCAGATAGGACTTCCTCTGTCAGCCTAGGAAAAACTTCCATGCTACAGCCAATGACGGACCCAGGAAAAGGTTGTATGTCCTTTCCTCCTGTGCTTTCAGAGGTTTCCCTCTTGAGGTTGAACCCTGGTATGAAAAAACTTCACTTACTTCTGCACATCCAGAAACTCTAGCAGCTTAATGTCAGGAAACAGACTTAGGTCCATAATGCCTTGGCAGTAGAGGTCATCTTCTCTTTCATGATAGAGCATGTAGAGCATGAAAAGCTCAGGGTAGAAGCAGGGCAAGATCAGCGGCAGGACCATGCTGCATGCCTTCTGATCACTGTGGCAGAGAAAAGCAGAGTCCTACAGTGAGACCTCTAACCTTGACATTACCAAGAGCCCCATGGCAGACAATGGAAGAGGCAGCTTCTGGGACTGCAAGGTGTTCTTGTTCTCCCCACCTTCTTCCACCTTTGAGTTCAGTGTCTCAGTTGGACAGTAGCGACCTATACAACACTCTCAGGCATGTGCCCAGAAGCTGGAGATGCAAGTGCATTTTATGCTGTAGGACAGGATGGGGCACTGTTTCTCCACACCATCTCCTTAGTCACAGAGAAACCTGGAGCACCAGAGACCTATTTCAAGCCGTTCTTTCTGAGCTCTTTCAATAGCGGACCTATTATTTCTTAAGGTCCTCTTAAGAAATGAAAGGTCTTTGTCTTAAGGGACAAAGACCAAATAAATTCAGATAAAGCCCTTTTTTGCTCCTTACCATTCCACCAATTTCCTGGCTTCATTCAGCCCATATGGGGACGGCTGCAGATTACAGCAAAGAGAAATCCAGACCAAATGGGGACAGCTGGACAGAGATGCTTCTTCCCACCCACAAAAACCATAAACCTGGATCTCCCACAATTATTCCTACGTTATTATTCTAGGCATATCATGTCTTCTACCTCCTTTTCCACATTTCCCATGCTGTACTCTCTATTTCCAGGCCTGCCTTTCTCTCAGTGCTGGTATGGAAGTCACCATCCCTGAACAAGTTCCTGTGACTAATGCAAAGGACATGGTAGCGCTGGGACTGCTCTCTTGCACACAACCATGCTGCTGCACGGTAGCTGGCGTGGGTAATCTTGCCAGGCTGTGTGCCACACACACCTCCACTATTCTGCTGCAGAACATGAATAGAAAAAATTGTGCTTATGCTTCAAGCACAACTACTGAAAGCTTTGCACTCAGAGAGAAGTGTGGACACTAAACCTGATTCAAATGGACAAATATAATTGGTTCAACACTTACTGTATTTTAGAATACGCCCCATATGTCTAAACAGCTTAAAATTAAACCACCAGTGGTGACACATACCTTATATCCCCTTCCACGTGCTTTGCAGATAGTTGGCCTTTCTGTTCCAGTGCCAGGCGGAGCAAACCCCTACAAAAGCAGCAGAACTGAGGTTCTGTAAACTGAGGTTTAGTTCCCTCCCTCATCATTTTCTAAAGGGTAATTTGTTATTCACAAGTGAGGAGCTCAGCTGTCCCGACATCAATTGAGCTGTTTGTTAGTAAAGTTCTCTGTAATTTTTGCAGTGTTGTTTCAGTATTCAAGTTTCACTATTTGAGGGCTTTCTCCATTATCAGCAGAAGCTTCCAGGAATAACTAAGCATTTAAAAATCTCCATGGCTTCTGAAGAGTAGGTTGGTCACTCTGGAGATCCTGTGTGTTGAGCACCATCTCCTTGTATTCCTACTCAAGCGACATGAGGTTTCAGGACCTGTCGTACCAACCAATTCTTTCATCCATCTATGAACACTGGAGGATGTTCATACTCTGAAAAAGTGGCTTGGGTTTGTCTTGATATTTCCAAGCCAAAACTTCATCATCTTAAAATGGGGATTAGGGAAAGGTTGTCTTTCTTGCTGTAGGAGTATTAGCCTAGGAAACTTAGACAGGGGCATGGCAGAGCAAGGTGGGTCTCCCTCCCCACCCTGCATGTGAAAGGTCTTGAGGCATGAAGCAATCTTTCCAAGGTCTGCACTGAGCTCAGAAGCACCTTCACATGAACCAATACTCAGGTTGTCAGACCTGATGTGCTGTTCATGAACATGGTTCAGATGAACTGAATCAAATCTGACTTGTTCCCATCAGCTGTGCTGCTGTTCTCAGACTGCTCCAGGACAGACAACCCCTCATCACAGAGCTGGCAGTCTTCCTCAAGCATTCAAGGCTACACTGATAATGACAGAGCTTTTATCCAGCCTTTTATTTTTAAGGCAATACCACCCTGGGTGCAGCTAAAGGCAGAATTCCTCACCTCTGCCTACTGTGGCATTTCTTGTATCTTCTCCTAAATGATACTCAGACATCAACAGAACCCAATCAAGCCTTTGATCCAATCTTTAATTACCCAAAAGCACAACCACACAACTGAACAACCTCATTTTAGACTCACTACCCACACCAGCCGAGCCTCAACAACGCGCTTACACTGCATGTTCTTAACACCTGTTGAGTTGAGGCTTGTGCTAAGCTTATGCTATTTTTTATTCAAACAGATATATTGAACACCACTGTTGTGTGCTCTGATATACTTTGCTGTCCTCATTACTTAGTGTGGTATCTTGATCATATTTGTGCTTATCTAAATTAAGTCTTCTAATGAGCAAGAGCTCATTGAGCTGCTATAACTCAGTGAGATTTAGTAACATTAAAGCTCCTGGGTCATGTACTGAGCGATGAGGATAATAAAGGTTTCCTAGGTTCATATGACCTCAGTTATTGCAAATAACTCTTTATCTAGCACCATTCTGAAGCAACTCTCACAAGAAATATGCTGCAAAACAAAGCATACCTGCCACCTGAAAAAGTTACCCTAATGGTCTACACTGCAAAACCCTCTGTGCTCATACCCATTGGGAGGACTCAATGTGCTTGACTTACTGGTAAAACTCCCATATTTTCTTTGCATAGTACTTGACTTCCTCTTGTGCCATAGTCAGCAAGTGTTTGTTGGCCCCAATCCCAGAATATGTTGCCTGAAAAGCTATTGTCAAGGCCTTCAGTAGCTTTCCCAGTGGGTGCAGAGAAGACTTCAATGCCTGCATGATAGAGGAAAGTTAAATTTTGCAAGTCAGCTCTTGCCATTAGTAGAAGATGATAACATGGAAAAGCCACCCAATCTTCTCTTGTCAGGAAAGGAGAACAAGCCTAGAAATAATCAACTATAATTTTAGTCTATTTTTGCTGTCACAAGTCTATTCTCTTCCCATTATGAGGCAGAAATATGCTTAGTAGAATTTTTGTTCTGATGAGGTTTGCTGTGATATTTAAGAAAGAGCAAAGGGTGCTTCAGGGCAAGTCTAGGTGAGTGAAAAACAACCACTGAGAATTCGTGGAAGTTTATTAATCATTTCAAGCTTCTGGTTATCCCTTGACACAATTTGCGAACCCAGAGTGAGGATTTATTTTCACTTCCTGGCCTGCATAGCTGTACACAAAACGAGTGTGCAAAAAGCACAAAGAATAACCCTCCTCATCACAAACACATATATTCACACTTAATTTAGAGAAGATTCTTGAAGTTACTGGCATGTGCTAACAGAAAGCAACAGAAAATTGCTACGACCCGTGTCCATGGTCTGGTGGGCAGACATGGAACATTATGGCTTAAAACTTTACCTTTTCTAAATAACTCGGTAGTGACTCAAGCCCCTGGTGCTGGACAAGCTCTTCAAGAATATCTTCTATCTTCCAGGATACATCCTCAGTCCCCCTGAAAAGATGAGAGGTGAGGAAGGAAAAAAACACACAATGAAGCACTGCGATAAATCCCAATTGGTATTGCAGGTAGATTCCAAGGGGGCAGTAAGACCATTAGAAATGAATTTTTCTCTGTTTTTTTCAGTGGAATTGCTCTACAGGCTTATGATACCTGTGATTCTCTAAATTCATCTCCCCTTACAACCAGCATGGGTTGCATCCTGAACATGCCTGTCAGATCTGTTTTAGATATTTTTCTAAGGAGAGACGGATTTACTCTGGATCAGCTTACCATGTCAGCTAGGTTTCCCTCAAATACAAGAGGAGCCAATGATGACTGAGTCATCTGCAGATGCATACATTTAATCAAATCAGTCCCATCCAAATTTTCATGTATAAGAATGAATGTCAATAGCACAACCTTAAATTCAGGCATAAAATTCATCCTCCTGTCTCATGGGCAGGAACAAATGGATAATGCTTGGGTTAATAACTTTAACACATGGCAGACCCTAATGTAAACCACCATCCTCTCTATACAAATGGGCTCCTCTGTTGCAATAAGGGCATGCAATACTCGTACCTTTGGCAAAAGAGGTACTCCTGAGATTTTCGCAGCTCCTTGCTTGTTTGTATGTGGAACCCCATGAAAGACTCCTCTGTTTCTTCTTTGCAGCCAGAATGGATGTACTCCAGGAACTGGTCATAGATGCCCTTCCACCTCTTCTCCACAGGGAACTCCTCGAGGCCCAACTGACTGTGAAACACAACGTGGCATTAGGCTTTTCTGCCTCCCTCCTCAATTATTTCAGACTTCACCTTCAAATATGGAAGGTTCTCCAGAATCCAATTTTAACACAATAATTATTGAAGCTGTGAACATGGCAATGCCTAACTGAAGGGAAAAAAAAATAATTCAACAAAAAGCAACTCAAGTCTATTGTCCTAACGACAAGGTATTTTGGGCAAAGAAAAAATCCTGGTGGAACGTGGAACATCAGTAATCTGAATCTTTGCAGGTGAATTGATCACAGGCCTTCTGCTCCACCTATGGATCTTTCTAAATATAGACTTCATCTCAGCTGGAAGCCTGAAGAAAAGACTGATTGCAGTAAGACAGTTGAGCAACCACGACCAGTAGCTACTGGTGTCTGAAAAGCATGGGTAACAGGAGCTGTTCTGCAACATAAATACTCTGATGGACTGGAAATGTTTTGAAAAGGAAAATAGAGGAAATTGAACTGGGTTTTACGAGAATAATTGCCTCAGAGGGCAAGCAGCTGTCTTCCCACTTTTCCCACTTTCAGTTAAACTTGCTAAACCCAGGCCCTACAGCCGGGCAACCAGAGCATCCCTTTGCAGGATTCAACCCTGAGGATAAGAGTCTATATCAAAAGATGTGGCCAGAGAGCTTCAGCTCAGTTACTCCTGCCCTGCATTTGTACTTTTGCCTGCCAAAGCAGCATCAGCATCCCATGAAGCTCTGATCCTGGCTCCACAGCCTTCCTCCACATAGAGCACTACCCAATTCAAGCTTTTCAGAGCTTCATATGTTGTGCTTCATATCTTGGTTTTGGGGATTTTTTCCCACCTCTGTACTATCAGCTGGTAATAATATTGATGTAGTTGCACATAAGGACAGGAAAGGAGCAAGTGATGCATTTTAACAGCCCAGATTTTTCTGTGTATCTTCAGACCTACCTGTCTATATACACAGAAACATGTGTGCATGCACAAACATGCACCAATCACTGAAAATGTTAAGCCTCCAAAACTCTATCCAGTCTGAGGATAGGAGTATTTCTGGGTGGATGGGGGCAGGACGGGAATAGAACCTTTGTTTTCTGCTTCCCATGTGGCATTAACATTAAATAACAAACTGTATTCTCTCCTTCTTCCGTTGCATATAAACAAGTTTTTAGATCATCATCATAGAATCATAGAATGGTTTCCGTTAGAAGGGCACTTGCCCAGTGCCACCACCCCTGCCAAGGGCAGGGACACCTTCCACTAGACCAGGTTGCTCAAAGCCTTATCCAACCTGGCCTTGAACGCTGCCAGGGAGGGGCCAGCCACAGCTTCTCTGGGCAACCTGTGCCGGTGCCTCACCACCCTCACAGGGAAGAACTTCTTTCTAATAGCTAATCTAAATCTCCCCTCTGTCAGTTTGAAGTAATTCTTCCTTGTCCTTTTGCTACAGGCCCTACTAAAATGTTTATCCCCATTAAATCACAACACCATCTCTCTTACAAGACCCTTTTAGGTACTGCAAGTCTGCTCTATGGTGTCCCTGGAGCCTTCTCTTCTCCAGGCTGATCAAGCCCAGCTCTCTCAGCCTGTCTCAATAGCAGAGGTGCTCCAGCCCTTGGAGCATCTTCATGGCCCTCCTCTAGACTCGCTCCAACAGATTCATATCCTTCTTTCAGCAAGGACTGCCTTGATCCCTGTAGGGATTGATCCAGTCCTTGTCTAGGTAGAGTCAATACACAAGCCATAACCCAAAGAAGTCAGCTTTTGTTGCTCACGCTTTGGTTATCCGGTCATCCAGCTGCTCATTTGACGTGTTCAGGATGCCGTGCGTCTGAAGGCCTTGGCCTGATTTGTTAGTAAATGTTCCCTCCAAAATGAAGCCATTGGCAAATGACAGCTTTCCCTGCAATGGAGAAAAAGGGTTAGTCTGCCAAGATCTCATTAGAGAGAGGAAACAAGCTGGACTGAGATCGCAGATTCTCCTTTCAACATAGCCAGCTCCTGAAATGACAAACTCAGAACAACTTTCAGTACAGAGGTGCACAATTTTAGCATCCAAAGCAACAGTGTCATTAAGGTGGCAGTCAATGGAGACAACACGTCCTCACTATTATTGAATGACACACATAGGGCTCTGAAGGGGAAAGACCACCACAGTCACAGAGTAAAATATTTGTGTTATGCTTTACAAACAGCCAATATTTTCCTTGAGTTATAAATTTTTCTGGCTTAAATTTGACAATAGCTATTTCTAACCTAGATTGAACACATGAAACTTTTGTATCTCCCCTGTTTTTCCTTTGCCTGTTAAAATCACAAGCATGTTTGGCCTCACAGGTAGGGGAATCATATGATATTCACCACAAACACTTTGAAAATGTTTGCTGCTACCAAGACAAACCTTAAATTTTCTGAGGCAAATACAGAAGACATGCAGTAGCTTGACTCAAAGTTAGAGGTTTTAATTATATAAAATCCAAAGCCAAACAATATTGTAAGTAGTCTGGCTTTGAACTCAAGCCTGAAATCCTCATTGCTAATAGCAGGAAGCAGTCCATCTTTAGATAAAGATCAGATTTTTCTAGACTAACCACTAAAACTAAACATTCATTTTGGACAAAGCAGTATCTCTGTAAAATCCACCTCAAGTCTTCTGGCTGAAGAAGATGATGACAACCTTTTTCTCCCATGACAAGTCAGTAAATGACAGGGCTCATTTGCAATCGTTACTAAGTGTCCATTTTGACATCCGTTCAGTTCTGATATAACCACACACTTCCTGTGAGACTCATCACTGATTTCTGTAACAAGCCGGAGGACTACTTTTCCCTGCAATGGGACACTTCATGAACACTTTGACCAGATATTTCTGTTAAGGATCAACCACAAAACATTGAACATGTCAGTGCAATGTCCAGATTGCAAAATTAAGCTTCCAGGGTCCCTTAGCTATGTTAACATCTCGGTTACGTTACTCTGGTGCTGGTACTGCAACTCCATTTGGTTTATACAACATTTCCTGTATTCCCAACCACTACAAAGGCTAAAACATTTCTTCTAAGAATACAAAAGCATCACAACTACAGTTGCAAAGCACAGCCAAAAATGCTCCACCAAAAAACCAAAAAAACAAACAAACAAACAAACCACCAAAAACCAACAAAACAACCAAAACCCTCAATGTAAACAGTAAAACACAAAATAAAACAATGCACAAAGCCTGCAGCTACTGGAAGTCTCTCAGTGGCAGCCTTCCTTCTGTGAATGAGACCGATAATAGAGGAAAAAAAAAAATCAAGGAGGGAATTTTTTTTTCCCTGGAGGAAGTGGAGCAGGAGAGTATGAACTTTGAAGATTAATCCCTCAGCCCTCTGGAAAGCATGCAACTGTATAGAAAGGCTGAGATGAAGGAAATGCTCACCTTTCCAACAAATGTTAGATCTTCTGTGAAGTTCCCTTCATAGACATAGTCATCTTCCAAGAGCAGAATCCCAGAACCCTTCATTTCAAAGCAGAAACAGTGAATTCATGACACTAATTTCCTACCTGCTTACATTCAGCTACAAAGAGCCACTGGCTTGGACTGTTTATGGGCTGTAGATTATGAGAGCCTTTCTGGAAGCCCAACATATATTGCAATGCTCAAGACAAAATCATGGGAGTTGCTCTAGAGATAATCCATCAGGAATCACTGCACAGAGAAGTCCAGAGTAGTCAGGAGGTTTTAAAGAACAGTACCATTGCATTCGTTTCTCTAGAGGAAGGAACAAAAGGCAGGCTCCCATACTAAGAATGGTAACCAAGAATTGTCATACAGGTCAAACTCATGTTCCTTCCAATATTATGACTTTTAGGTGATTTTAGCCATTTGTGTCATTCTTTGCAAAATGATTAAGAGAAAAGAGGAAGGCAACTGCTATGTAGAATTAGCTTTGCCCCTTGCTGTGCAGCCAATGGGACTTTAATGAGCTGCTTCTAAGCATTCATTAAATGACTTGTTCTATTACCTCCCAAACTCCCATGGCTGCCTAGAGTAACACACATTTCAGGGAAGGAGCACCAAGATGCAGGATAGTCATAAGACAATTTATATGAACAGGGAAAGATTCTTCTTGTTGGGGCTTAGTCCATGGTTTGGGCCCGAAGGTTTACATGTACCCATACCAGCCAGAAAATGTGGTCACTTCTAGAGCTGTAACACATTTTCCGTTGGAATGATTTTCTTGATGGAAAGTACCCATCCTGGCAAAAATAAAAGGTTTCCAAGGGAAGCTTCTTGGCCATACCAATTTTCCACTAGGAAAACTGAAGTGACTGCTCCCCACCCGGAAGCCTTGTGAAGTTAAAGGAGCCTTTGGCAGCTGGCAAACCAAAAGACAGCTTTATTTTGGTTCCCCACAGATGGAGGTTTTATGGAAAGCCCTTCCGACAAAGTTTCCATGCTAAACACTTTGTCCTAATTTGGTGAATGGGGAAGGGGTTGTTTGTTTTTTTAAGCATGTATTTTTCATGAGAAGAAATGTTTTTACTTCCAGGCCAATTCTAGTGATGCCAATCCCTTTTGCTTTCCCTAAAAACATCTAAACTCTCAATGAACTGGACAGCCAACTTGTTATAGGTAAGCTCACATTGGAAAGGTAAAGACTTAATGATCTCCAAGATAGTTGGCCCATGCCAAGCTCATGAAGTTTAACCAAGACAA